CAGTCAACAAACGGCGAAAAGTAAAATTTCGAAAATTTTGTTACTGATCACGTTACCACAGAACTTACATTCTGATTGGTTCGATCAGGCAAATCGATATAAATCGATATTTTTGGCCATATCGAAAGATATTTTTGCATGTCCCTGAATCATGTGTTATCCGACATTTCATATGATCATGTGAATTTTTTTGCTATGATATTTTTTGCCAAAATATCAGAAAAAACTTCACATGGCATATTAACTATCGGATAACATCATTATTGAACATACGTACAGGCATTTTTTTTTTTTTCAACGGAGTTAATTTCACTCATTGCTGCTACGCAGCACATGGAGTGACATTAACTCCGACAAAAAAAATTGCCTGTTATTTTTTGTCGTCTGTCCAATAATGTACACATATTATATAAAATCAATCTACCCTAACCGTTAACTAACCAATCACAACACGACCATGTGATTTTATTCTGTCCGTAGAATTTTCGGATCATCAGTCAATCACAGTTTAGTCACGTGCCGGACAGACGGACATTTTTTAAGTTTTACTTGTACATGTAAGTCCTCACTACGCTTCGGACAATTATATGTGAACTATGAACTCTTTCGAATTGGAAGACCTGGGTTGTACGTTCTTATGTTCGGGCTTTGGAACAGGGCAGTGAAACACATCGCAAATTTGATAAAGAGTAGTAGAATTGGTTAGTTCCTTGGGTCATCCAAACAGATAAGAATCAAGACAAAAAGGAAATTATTTATAATTAGTAAATATATATTAATAAATTTCAATTTATTAACTTAAAAAAAAAGTGCAATATATGAAACTGCACGCGTCATACATCATCTAATTCATTTATGTTCTTTTTGATCTCTAATTTCAGATATTACATTTGTTTGGAAAAGGAGAATTAGATGAACTTATTGAAAGTACCGGAATTCCTTAAATAGTCCAAACAATCAAGGCGGATTATGATGAAGATAATTGGTAATGTCATTGCGAGGAAGGAGGGATGTGAAATGAAATCGATATGATATGATCGCTAAATACGTATATTTAATTCGATATGTAAATAGAGAAATTAAATATAAGCCATTGTTTTTACAGAAAATTAGATTAGATGCTATAAACCTAACAAAAGAACATATATTAAAACACTTACAGCAATATTTTATATAAATACCTTTAGAACAGCTGGGCAGATGTTTGATTATGCTACTATAACTAGATGGCTCACGTTTTTTACAAAAATATTACTTTGTTTAGCTCATACTATTATTATCGTCTTTCAACACCACATTTGGGTCAATCTTAACTTTGCGTGTGAAAGTTTCATACCAATCCTGGAACACTTTCGCTGATATAAACGTATTGCCAGTCCCAATTATTTGCGAACCAAAAGGGGTAGAAGATGTAGCGAATGATGTAGCATAATTATAGAGGTTCCGAAGTGTGTTCTGCGTTATTTGACTAATAAGCTCTGGGGTTATACTTATACCACCAAAACCACTACTGGTTTGTGGTTGGTTAGATGTCTGAGGGAGCGTTGCAATTTGTGATTCCACCATGGCGACTGGTTCGATAGAAATGCCTAATGTTGCTGTTACAGAAGTAGTGGCCGATGATAAATCATTAACGTCCATAGACATTTCGTCTGCATTATAATTTGTGATCAATTTTGTTGAACCAAAAGTGAATGCATTCGATGATGTAAATGCATTCGTCGTTCCAGGAATGACTGACCCACGAAGACGGAAAATCGCGCTTGGTTTCTCGTTGGAGAGCCTTAAATTGATGATGAATGTTATGAATATTTTTAATATATCATGCTATATCGTGCTTTCGAAAACCTACATGCCCAACAATTTCCAGCCATGTTCGCCTCCTGGCCATAAAAAATGTACAGTGGCTGCGTAACCAGGCTCAAAAGGAACTGTACCAAGTAAAAATACTACGATGTGATTTACGGTTCCGGCGTCAGGGATTTCGAATACATATTTATTAACGTCAACCTGTTGAAGGTTAGTTTGAATCTATATAACAAATTATAAATAGTGAGTTAGAAGAATCGCAAGAAAAAAAGTTTCAACTATAGTTTATTGAGTGTTGAAAAAATTTCGTCGCGAAGTTATCCTTAGTCGGAATTTACTAATTCTTAGACTACAATTATTATCGATTGTGCTGAACGTTTTTTTCGGTTTACTAACCAGTCTTCCTGCTACAATACAGCCAAACATATTGTTTATATAAATTCTACAAAATTGTAGGTTCTCGCGCGATCTATTAAACAGTTAATACAGTAGTTATGCGGTGACTACCTTTTTAAATATTATTTGTATTATTATTATCGTTGGGGCAATACTGCAACAAAAACAAACCATATCAAGTTATATATTATGTAAGGGTAAGGGTAGGGGTCAAAATTTAGTGCTCAATTATAACGACTAATTTAACCAAATTGAACGTCAATTTTTCCTAGAACGCGAAGAATTACAATGACTTAAAACCATTAGAATAAGGAGCAATGCTGTAAATTTGCTACATAAAAATTTCTTCTTAATGCAATTAACCTTTTGGTTTCTTATACCGTTATAAATTACTGTTAATTTTAATTTCTATTATCTTTACATTAAACAGTTGGTCTATTGTGATTTTTATACGTATAAAAACTTCAAAGTCATGGGATTTTTGTCCACTATGCTAACCCAACCCATTAACAACCCTACTTGTATGTTGAAATTTTCATGTAAATTAGAAACACCTTTTTATTAATTACTTTCGCATATTACATTACACGCAAAAATTTAAATTTTTTTCATATAATGTAAGATACGGAAGTAATTAAAAAAAAAAGGTATTTAATTATTTAATTTATATGAAATTTTCAAAATATGCGCAATTTATTATCCCGATCAACTTTACTTAAGCATACATATTTAAAATTTTGATTTTGATATATAGCTACGATTATTGATTATATTTTTATAAAATTTAATTTTGCTTGGCGGCCAGGTTAAAAGGTATTAGAATATTAGCTAACATATGTTAAATGACCTAAGGTCGAAATGACAAATGATTAGTCATTTGTCATTTGTCATTTGGGTCATTTTGGTCATTTACCATCCCTGCATATAAATATGTATGTTTTCTTTTGCCAACACTAAATAGTTTATGATATATTTCTTTCATAATTTTATTTGTATTATGACTTATTATTTCCAATATTTTGTTACGTAATAAATGGCAATAAATAAAGAATTATACGGTATATATAAAACAATAAAAAATCATTTTAAGATCCGCTATATTACACCTAAATCTGTAAGCACAAATACTTTCAAATTGTTCCAATCAACAGTCTTTCATTTGTTCAACTTGATTCATCGGTGAACCGTTGATTTTGGATTTTAGATCTATAAAAGTCGCTTATGATATGACTGCTTTCGAGAAAGTATACTATGAAACGCATGCATGTCTAACCTATACAATAATAAAATACATAATAACGTTTAGCAATAAGACAAAAAAAAAAAAAAGACAGTTGCCTATACATGCCGGATGGGTTGATCCAACCTTCAACCAACATTCAATAAATTAAACTTGCTTCAGATTCTACTACGGGTTGCTCCAGATTTATTTCAATTTGAATTGGATTCAACCGGAGTAGCACCAGAGTATGTTATTCCCTAAATTGAAGATGCGTCTTTTTAATCATGAATTTATGTACTTTGGGAACTTCTTCAAGGCGTCTGCTGGCGAAGATTCTATATTGTATTTTCCATTCATAACCAGATATTGTGATGATAGTAAAACATACGATTCTTGTATGTTATGTTGGTGATTATATTAGAAAGTAACGAATGTACAGAATTAGCGTGCTGACAGAAAATTTGAATCCAAAAGTACTAGGAATTTATATGTTTCTTACTTGAGCAACGGAATAACAAAGCGATCAAATGTTCACCAGATAAATTCACTACACTTATCAGCTTCGATCTTGTTGTTTCTATGTGTATGAAGAAATAAATAGGCAAAAATTAAATGCCTTGAATCTATTTAAAACATAGTGCAGAAAAAGCATTTCGTGACGCCTGAGCGCGACAAACTTTCCTATAGCTATTAAAAAGAAAAAATGATGATAATAATTAATCACGCTAAAAATAAACATTTCAACTGTCCCAAATACATTATATTCCCAAAACTTGTCCGGAATAACTTGTCTCAACACTGGACCAACATACTAGAAGATAAAAATACCCATTCTGCACGAATACCTGATATATATTTGAATTAGAGTTTAGTTTAACTACGCCAAGAACACCTCCAAAAATTCTATGCAGCCAATCAGATGTCAAGATCAGGTGTAACGTAGCACAATCAGGAAAATTCAAAACAGAAAATCTACATCAGTGTTGTCATGTCTACTATGTCCAAATGTCCACAGTGTTCACAACTGTCCAAAGAATATTTAGATTTTAAAATTTAATAAATTAGTTTAAAAAAGATATAATTATATATTTTTTAT